CCGTGCCGTCGTCGCAACGTCGTCGTTTTGTCACCATCCTGGCCGTTAAGACCCCTCCTCTTTTTCTAGAAACCCCACATGTCTTCAGAGCTTAGATAAATTAATACAAACTCCCCAACCCTAGCCTTTAGCCTCAGCTCAGCTCCCAGGCTCTTCGTCTTTGTGCAATCCAGGGGTGCTCGGCGAGGCTGCAGCATCCCAGGCTACTTGCGCAATCGATGCTTGCTTGCAGAGGGTATTGACGTTCGGGCGCGTAGGCCATAACCGGCATCGCAGAAAGCCCGATTCAACGAGGTGTTAGCATGTTGCTTTTGCAGACTTCTGCAAGTCAGAAGTTTGTGTGCGGCTTTTGTACTTCCCAGCACCATGGCAAAGCTTTGGCTTAATTACAAGCTCCCTGCGCGCGCGTGTGTGTGTGTGTGTCCGCATTTGTGGCAGTGTGAGTGAGTTACTGTAGTGAGTGAGCGAGTGAGCGAAAAAGTCTGTGAGGGAGTGAGTGAGTGTGATTCCGGTATGCCTTTCGGGTATCTGTTGTGTTGTGTTTTCGTCGCACTGTCGATCAGCCCTCAATTCTTGCCCCTTCCGTGTATTCTGAGGGCAGCGGATCCGCCTAGTCTGCAGCTACGAGACTCGGAGCATCGGAGAGCGAAATGGTGGGACCTCTGTTTCGGGAGCTAGGTCAGTCGATGTTTCGATGATTCCAGCAGCTCCCTTAACACACAAGCGGCTCTCGTCGGCTTTTTGGTTCCCCAAGTCGAGTTCAGACGAATTCTACCAGGGATCCTGGCCCTTCAAACCCTAAGTTAAGCTACCCGCACCTGAGGGGCCTTGGCATACCGTCCCAGGCCCCTCTGCTTTGGGAGACCTTGCTGCAGCGGGAGCTCTGGCCGTCTACCCTGATCCTGCTCCCTTGCTAAGTTTCTTGAAAGGAGGGGGGGTGGGTTAGGGTTCAGGGTTTAGGGTTTTGAGGCATCCCTAAACCCCGAACCCTAACCCACGCCCCCCTTCCTTTACGTTAACCGAGAAGGCCCTGCTGTTGAGGAGTGTTCGCTCGCACACAATCCAAGCCCATGCTGAAAAGGGTAGCTTGAGGAGACAGTGGTCTGTGAGAAGTGGCTGAGTTGTGGTTTCTCGTCTTTGACTGCCCTGGAGCTGTTTCCGCCAGAGCTGCCATACCCTTGCAAAGATTTTCATTGCAAGGATGGGTGGAGCTCGCAGCGGCCTGGACTGGATGAGCTTGCCTGTTTGTGTCAGCCACTTCCCCTTTCTTGCTCCTATCCCATTCGGCCACTGGTCATCGACGGCTTGCAAGCCTGCCAGCATAGCTTTGCGTAGGCATCCTCTCCAAACAGGTGGTCTTCAATGCGCTTTTATCCCTTCAACACACCGACTTACACCCTAAAAACGCCTTGTCTCAGGGCACGCGCCGAACTTGCTGCCTGACTTGTTGAAGGCGAGTGGGAAGCTCCGTCTCCCCACCCCTTTGTAGTCTCGCTCAGACGCCTCGTAACCACGTGCTTCGCCGGATTGTCCGAGTGATTCCGAGTGGGAGCACCGAAACCTCTGCCTCTAATCCATTAGAGCCTTAAACTCCCAAGCTGGGTCGAGTTGCTGTGCATCTGCGCAAGACCCTATAATAGAAACATCCAAAACCCTAAACCTCGAATGCTGCAAGCACAGACCTTCATCAGCCATGCCAGCCTTGTGCGAGTGTGTGACTCGACACCTCGAATACAAGCGTATTTTTTCGGCAAGGCCTTTCATCTGTGGGGCGCCGCCGCTGTGGCCAGTCGGGCTATCAGAGGCATCTCGGCTCTTTTCACGTTTTTTGCTGATACCTAGACCCTCAAATGTACTCCGCTTGTTTTGGTTGCCTTATAGTTTCTTATTATAGGATCCTAACCATAAAATAGGTCATCCGATATAAAAGGTACTACGTTTGAGGGCCTAGGCAGCCTGGGAGAAGAAGAGGGGCGCGGATCGAGAGAAATGACCCGGTATACCCCGCTCGCAACTATCAGCCCCAGAGGGTTCATCCTAAACCCTAAAACCCTAAATTCTAACTAAACCCACATATATTCTACCTGTACCATTTTGATGGAATGGGGGTCCCCCCAAAAAAGGAGTGATGAATTAGCACGCTGAGGACCGGAACCTTGGCCGCTGCTGGACTGGGGCTTCTTCTTCCAACGGAGCTTTCTGGACTCCCGGGTTTTGGACCTCTCGGCCTGTGCCCGACATCCCGAAGTGGCGGTGGCGAACTTCTACATGAAGGGCGTCTGGGTTCTTGTTAGGGGCTTCAGGTTAAGTTACCATCATATTTCATAAGAAAACCATATTATTTGCTATAGATCCCCATTATGGTAACTAACCATACTATTTGCTATGGATCCCCAATATGGTAACTTAAAAATAGACTCCCTTATAACAAGAGCCCAGGCGTGGGTCTGCGAGTTCTGGGCTCCTCAAAAGGATCCGCCGGGGGCCGGAAAAAGCTGGCGCCGTCCTTTGCGACGTGTCGCAGCTCGCTGCGGAGCTCCGGCGTGGAGCCCTCCTTCGCCTTTCCACCGGAGCGCCGAGTCCTCTTTGTGTCCGGGCCGAGCAGAAGAATCATAAGAGCCAGAGTCGATTTAGGGTTTAGGGTTTTAGGTGGGAGGCACTTCACTTCAGAGAGACCTCGTTCAAAAAGGGTTTTAGGGTTTAGGGTTTGCTGCAAACCAGATGCAAAAAAGGTTTTGGGTTTTAGGGGGTCATGCTGCCTGCCGTCATGTCGCGAAACCAGTCCCGTCCGTTTCCTTGATAAGGTGGTGCTGCCTGTTCATTTCATGCTGTCGCACCTGGACCTAGCATTGCGATTGGTGGCGCTGCAGACGAGGTTGGATGGCGTGCTCAAAAAGTTAGGGCTTGGAAGGTTCCGAGTGTCCCGGTGCCAAGATGCAGATGGCTCACAGACGCATGTAGATAAGGACATGAGTGGCAAACTCCAGCCGGGTTAATTTTTTTGCCATCCGGATGTTTGATCTCAAATGATGCCAGAAACTTACTTCAAACATTTCGGCAGGTTCGTGTCAGTTGGCGAAACAACAACCAACCGCGACCTTAGACCGTCACTGCCCACTGCAAGCTGGTGTCTCTGTCGAGCTAAAGGTTGCATGCATGACCAGACCTATCAACATAAAATACATTTGTACACACGCTTGCGCGGAAAATGTGCTTGTGTATGTATGTGTGCATGTATGCATGCATGCATGCATGCATGCATGCATGCATGTATGTATGTATGTATAAATATATCTATTATTCATTGTTTATATATATATATGTGTGTGTGAGTGTGTGTGTGTGTGTGTCTGTGTGTGTTTGCCTGCCTGCCTGCCTGCCTGTCTGTCTGAGTGTATGTCTGTCTGTCTGTCTGTCT